TTGGGGGAGCGGAATGGAGAGTGTGTGTTAAATGGGGGCAGAGCTTCGTTCTGGGAAGATGAAACGTTCTGGAGGACGGTGGTGGTGCTTGCATAACATTACGAACACACCTAATGCTACTGAGCCAGCTAATGTGGTAAATTTTATGTTATCTGGATTTTAAAATCAGATTGAATAACTCTTTTGAAAGTGTAATAAAAAACAGCAGTGCAGTAGCACAGCTGGAGCTGGGTATTGTCCCAGGTCAGCCACCAGCTGTGTGACTTTGAGCAGATTTGCTTCCCTGACTTCCCGGTTCTCATCCGTGGATCGAGGCATTGGAACGGTTCTTGTGCCAAAATTATTCTTCGCTCTGAACTGATAGTTGCATGGGATGATTTGTTGTTTTTTCTTTTTTCCTTTTTCTTTCTTTTGAGACAGAGTTTTGCTCTTGTTGCCCAGGCTGGAGTGCAGTGGTGTGATCTCAGCTCACTGCAACCTCTGCCTCCCGGGTTCAAGTGATTCTCCTGCCTCAGCCTCCCAAGTAGCTGGGATTACAGGCATGCGCCACCATGCCTGGCTAATTTTGTATTTTTAGTAGAGACGGGGTTTCTCCATGTTGGTCAGGCTGATCTTGAACTCCTGACCTCAGGTGGTCCACCTGCCTCAGCCTCCCAAAGTGTTGAGATTACAGGCGTGAGCCACTGTGCTCAGCAATTCATTGCTGGCACCAAGAGTGGCTGAGAAATTTGGTACCTGAGCAGGGGGTGAGGTTCTACGGTCCCCCTCCCCTCATTTCTAGCGGTTTTATTTTGGGGGGAACCTGATGCTTTTCTGGGCCTGTCTGTGATAGTAATGCCGGTTGACCGGCCGTCCCTTGGGACCCTGTAGCCAGGTAGGTTGATTGGCCTGAGGTCCTTGGTTCTCCCTGAAGCCAGCTGGTTCATGCCAGCTCACTGCATCCTGGATGCCTGGGAGCCCAGGCTGACCGGGCTCTGTGGGCAGCGGGCGGTGTCTGCTCCACTCAGTGTCCTTGAGTGCTGGGTGCGGTGGCCAAAGGCTGCGCGGTGCAGATGGTGCTCTGGGGGCCACCTGTCTTCTCAGACAGTTGTGAGGAGTCTTCTCAACAAAGCTGGAGTTTGAAACAAGTGGCCTTTTAGGCCATTTTTATTATTGTCTTCCCTGTTTAGTACTCTTTGGGAAGAGTCGAGATTATGTCCACCAGCGGCGGGGGGTGGGGGGGGGGGTGCTAAATCGGTGGTGATTATCTGAATTTATAGACAAATAGACAAAACTTTGTCTGTTTGAGAAACACGAATAAACGCTGGTCTCTCCCTGCTGTGGAGGTGTGACATCTGTTACTGGCCCTCGTTCCGAGAGTTGATTTAGTTTTTTGCAAGAATTATTTTCTGTCTGCTTGTTAGACTTTTCCTTTCTCCTTTACATCTCCAAAGCGCACAGCGCATCCATGTGTGGCCAGGCATCACAGGTCCTTTCTTTTGCCTGTGCTGGGAACAAGTTTCAAGGCTCACTGTGGAAGAGCCGCTCACCCGGGGCGTGGTCAGGGCTGCCAGGTGTGGTGGCTCACAGCTGTAATCTCAGCACTTTGGGATGCTGAGGTGAACGAATTGCTTGAGCCCAGGAGTTTGAGATCAGCCTGGGCAACACAGCAAGACCCAGTGTCTACAAAAAATACAAACATTAGCTGGGCGTGGTGGCACATGCCTGTGGTCCCAGCTACTCAGGAGGCTGAGGTGGGAGGATCACTTGAGCCTGGGAGGTCGCGGCTGCTCTGAGCCATGATCATACCTCTCCCTCCAGCCTGGGTGACAGAGTGAGATCCTGTCTCAAAAAAAAAAAATTAAAAAAATTAAATTTTCTTATCACTGTCCACCTAAATAACAGTGAGAGGCTCTCTGAAAGGAATGATGTTTATCTGGGAGCAGGGCATTGGAGTGGGCAGATACTTGCCATGGTCTACAGTGCGTAGCTGGGGAGGCCAAAGAAAACAAAGGCTTTTAAAGGAAAAATGAGGATCACATGATTGTTTTGAGATAATTATCCTTGCAACAAGGATCAGCAAGCACCAAGGGTGGTATCAGGCTGAAGGTGGGTGGGTGGTTGCTGGGCAGATGTCCTCACAGTGTGTTCTGAGTAAGGCTGTGATGTCCTGTGTGCACGGCTGTGGTTTGTGCAGTCTTTGTGATGGATTTGTTACTCCCAGGCATACTAATGTGCGAGCTCTCCCTTCATGGCCCTCCCCAGCTCTGTTTGTTAGGGTTTTTAACACAAGTCACTCATTTTGATTCTGACAGCCTTAATCTCACAAAGCCATGGGTTCATTAATGCCCCACCCTTCCCGAGAGCAGAAGATACAGAATAGCAAATTTGTAATGAGAACAAAGTCACTCTTTGCTTTAGCAGTGAACTGAACCTTTCCTGTTACTGCTGTTGCCGTAACACATGTCCACATGCCATACTGGTGCCCTGTGCTCCCCGTTGTTGGGCAGTCAGTCCCCCGTGTTGTGGCCTCCGTGTCGTGTGTCTCACGAGCACTGCTGAGCACCTTCTCAGGCCTCCCCTCTGCTGGGGCCGCACAGCTGCCAGGAGCCGGGCGCTGTGCTGGGAAGCAAGTTTCAGACAGCATCAGACGAAGCGAAGGGCTTTGCTGCTGTCGTCCCATGGCAGTCCCCTAAGGGAGATGCCTCATGGCTGACAGCAGTGTCATTGGTGGGAGGGAAAAGACCAAAGGCTTGGAGAGAGGACGCTGGGGAGTCTAACTTAGATGGGGGCTTAAAGGTCTCTTACAAGAGAGGTTGTTTGGGTTGAGGGTCAGGGGAGGGAAGAACATGCACAAAGACCACAAGGTGGGTACCCAGGGGAGCCTCCACCAGCAGCACAGGGTGCCACACGGGAGCCTCTGAGGGCACCAAGCCTGGCTAGCATGGGGCGGGCATGGGAACAGGACTACCAGCAGGGAGGCCAGATGTGTACCAGGCTGGGTTGTGGGTCTGCAAGGGGATTGCTGGGTTCCAGGTACATGTTACAGCTCAGGTCAGCTGTGGGTACATTTTTTGAAAAAGAAATTTCTTAGCCAAATTTTTCTCAAGAATCTGTCAGATTCATTAACTTGCTAGCAAGGAACCCAAAAGGTGACCAAAGAAGTGCATGCTTCAGAGAGAATGTGAGCCTGAGGGGTGAGAGGAGGGTGTGAACCCAGAGCATGGACATGGATGCCGGCCTAAGCAGGAGAGAGCAGGGGTGGCAATTTACCAGTCACCACAGAAGAGCCCTCTGTGGCAGGACGCCCAAGGTGCCTGCCATTGGGAGCAGAGACACCAGGAAGCCGCATCTGTGTCTGAATGGGACCACAGGTTCCCTCCAAGGAGTGTCTTACAGACTGATTTACAGAAGGCAGGAGCCTGCAGGAGCCTGAGCTGAGCCCCGTGGGAGCGGCAGGCAGGCAGGTGCAGGCCAGTGGAGTGCATTCTCCAGCCTCGGAGGTGCAGCGTGCATGGGGGCCTGCTCCTTAGTTTGAGAACAAGCAGTGGTGCCACTAGTGCCTTGGAGTGAGCTGGCAACTGTGGTAACTCAGCTTGGTGTGTGCTTGATACCTGTGCTGACCGGTCCATCTGGCGCCTGGCCGCTGTGCTTCTAGGCCTATGCCTGCTGGCTGCCCTCTGCTGGGCATTGCCACTTTCAGGATGACAGCCTTAGGAGCCTCCTCCCGGCCTGGTGGGGGCCCAGTGGTGGCATCCTCCCGAGCGTCCTTTCATGTTCCTGCAGCCACGGCCCCGGGTGCTGTGCCTCTCACCTGCCAAGAGGATAGTGCCGCCCCCTGCCCGTCCTTAGGGGTGTGGGTGGAGGGGAGGGTGGAGAGATGGTGGTGTGGGCAGGGACAAGGGTGGAGAGATGGGGGTGTGGACGGAAGGAAGGGTGGAGGATGGAGGTGTGGGGTGATGTGGGGCTGGGCCATGACAGTGGGTGGGGAAGGAAGGACTTTTCAGTTGAGGAGGAGCGGCTCAGTGCAGGGAGACCCAGGCGGGAATGGGTCTGAGGACATGATGGCTGTGTGGGGTGTGTCAGCGCGGGGGGCAGGGAGAGAGGGGAGAGCAGCGGGAGGGAGGCCTGCTCCATCTGCTTCCAGGAAGGTGCAGGCAGGCTGCAGGTTTCCCCAGGGCCTTACAAGGAATTGCTGCAAGGTTTTCTACAAGACTCTTATGCAGGTGGAGAGCCAAAAGTGGCTCGAAATCTTGACATAAACAGGTTCGCTTCCTTCAAGCCTGAAATTGGTCACTTAGGATTCCAAGTCCTCAGGAAAGCAGAGCTGCCAGCTGTGATGCTTTTTGTTTTTAGGAGGTGGTGGTGACTGATTTGCTGGAGCCAGTTTCTCATTTGGGGAAGTGTCCAGCATAATGATAGGCACAACATAGATGTTTGTCGAATTGAATTAATTCTGGTCATTTCCTGGAGGAAGATAGACAGGATGTTTTAATAGCCGGTTATTTCCTGCGCCAGAGTTGGTTGGGTCTTCAGACACCAGCTGAATGCTTAGGGATTCTTTCATTTCCTAAAGTGCTTATAAAATTATGAAAAAGCATGACTTTGCTGAAAACCTGCGTTCATACTAATCATCTTTACTCTGAAAGTCCTGCGCCCACTTTCCAAGCACCCTTGCACGTGATTTCATTTGATCTGGGTAACAGCCTTGTGGGGTGGGCTGCTGCCATCCTGTTCTGTGTTTACAGAGGTGGAGGCTTCGTCAGAGGCACACAGTTGGCAGAGCAAATACTTGACGATCCTGGGATGCCTCTTTTTTTTTTTTTGCTTTTAATTTTGCGTGTTTTTCTTGTATAAAATATACCTAACATAAGATTTACCCTGGGATGACTTTTAAATCTCTCTTTTTTAAAAGTCTTTGTTCCACAGTATTCCTTGATTTTCTACTGTGCCATGCATTGGACAAGACTAAACATCTCATTCCAAAAGAATAACCTGATGCATTTTTTCTTTGTGTTTAGGGCTCAAAATTTGGGCGGGGAATTGGACTCACTCAGCCTTCTCAACGCACGTCTGCTCGGAGATCATTTGGGAGATCTAAGAGATTCAGTATCACTCGCTCCCTTGATGATCTTGAGGTAATTTAATTTTCATTTTTCTTCTTTTCTCCTTCAAGTTTTAAAAAATGCAAATCCACCTTGCAGATATGTCTGGCTCTTTTTTGAGTCCCTGTGGTCTCCTCCCCTGCCCTCTGTAGTGGTAACCCCTGTTTTCCGAGGGACAGCATCCCATGCATGTTTGGGGACCTTTCTACCCTGTGATGTGTCTGAGCTGTCACCAGGCTTTCTGGGGTGCTCTTCTGTGTGCCAGACTCCAGTGAACACTTCTAGAAATGAACTGGTTTAATTCCCACAAAAACTCTACCAGGTAGGGCCTGTCATTGCCCCCTTAAAGATGGGGCGTGCTCCACAGACATGGGTAAGTGCCATTTTGTGTGGCTCTTCTATCTGTGCTTCTTTTGTAAAGAACAATGAAAAGATTTTATTTTTTATAGCAGTTTTAGGTTTACAGAAAGTACAGAGAATTCTATGCCCCCACCCACTTGTTAAAAATACGCCGTCAGGATCATTATGTCCTGCATTGGTGTGAGTGTTTGTTACGGTTGACAGGCCAGGGTGGACCTATGATTATTAGCTCAGGTCCACAGCTCACACGAGGGTTCCCGCCTGTGCTGTCCTCTCTGTGGCTTTGGACAAATGTCTCATGCCGTGCACCCACCGTTGTGTATCATTGAAAAAGCCACCGCCCTGGAGATCCTCTGTGCCCCACCTGTTTACCCTGCACCCTCCCCTTGAACACTGACAACCACTGATCCTTTGACTGTCTCATTTGGTGTGTTTTAAAATGTCCTACAGGTGCAGCTGTATTCTGTGTCTTCTTATTAATGTCTTATTCTAGAACATTATGTCATGTTTTCAAGAGTTACTCTTGGAGTTTCAGTCCAGTCCTTTTACTTGCTGTATGGCATTCTACTATGAGTATACGATGATGATTGATGCCTTCCGCTATCAATAGACACTCAGTGGGAGTGGGAGAGAATCTACCCGTACAGCGTTCTTGTACATGTCTCCTTCAGCACTTGTGGGATGGGCAAGAGTGTTCTTAGCTGGGAAGGATCTGCATGAGCAGTGTGGCCAGGCTCCATCCACACTGACTGCTCCAGCTCTTGCTCTTCCAGGAGAATAGGTGGCTTCAGGGATGGCAGGGGTCCTGAGGATTGGCACGTTGTGGCTGCAAATAGGAATCTGCCCTTGGATGGCCTGTTTAGCCTTGGTCTCTCTGGGGAACTCGAAGGGCACGTCAGGGCTAGCATGGTGTATCTGGGCGGGCAGCAATCAGAATCAGCTGCAATGGGGTGCCCATGCTGCTGATGAAGACACAAAAGGTGTGTGTGCTACCTAAGGCAGGGCCTAGCTTGAGGCTGAGGACCCCGGGACCATTTTTGGCTCATGCTGCCATGCTGAGCTGACCATCTGTGCATGAGTCCTGTTCATTTTCCTCCTTTTCTGTTGGTCATGAGGAACTCACAATGTGGCCCTAGGTGTGGGCTGACAGAGCTGTGCTGGTACCCTGGTGAATGATATGTGGGTCTGGGCCACGTGCTCTGCGCAACCTGCCCCTTTCCTGCTGGATTCAAACTTCTATTTCATGGTGGATTGCTCTCCGGCCTGCCCCATGCCAGGGTCAGTGCCACGCTCCTGGTAGACAGCTCCATTGTCTAATCCCTGGGTGTCCCCAGTGGATGTTCCCTCTCCACCAGGGCCCTGCTGCTTTCCACATGGCGTGTGGTCCCTGCTGTCTTTGCCCCACACCTTAAACTTCCTGGCTGTAACTCTTACTGGGGCCAAGGAGGATGGCCCAGGTGGCAGGGCTGCCTGCCCTTTTCTGTGTGGGCCCTGCTCGCTGCTGGCCACCTTCCATGACTCCTGGGAGAGGGATCTGAGCAGCCTTCCCAAGTGAGGGGTGGTCTGCCTCTTGAGCCCATGGTCCTGAATAACACGGAGGAAGGCTCTCCATAAGAAAACAATATTTATTAATATTTGGGAATAGGCATTGCAATGAGAATATGCATGCTGTAGTAAACTATGAATATTCAGGGAGGTCAAGGAAGACAGCAGTTTTTAAAGGAAAAATGAGGAGGATCACAAGATTGTTTTGAGATAATTGCCTTAAACAAGGGTGGTACCAGTCCAAGGTTGGACAGGCAGTTGTGGGACAGATGCCTTCAGAGGAGTATTTTTGTGTGTGAGGCTGAGATGGGCTTTGTGTGCGAGGTTGTGGTTTTGCAGTCTTTTGTGATAGATGTGGTATCAGGTCTATGAGCATGAGAACCCTCCCTTCCTGGCCTTCTCTGGCTCTATAACACTTTGTTAGGGTTTTTAATACAAGTGACTCCATTTTCATTCTGATAGCTTTCACAGTTCCCCCTTTTAATTGAGACCTTTCTCCAAAAGCATAGCTGACCTGCAGTCAGGCTTTGATTGCCTTTGGTGCTGGGAGGGAGCTGTCCCAGTTTGGTGTGGTCTGGTTCCACATCAGCAGGAGGTGACTGTGACCAGGAGTCAGTGTCAGAGCTCATTTATCCACATTTGAGCAACCAGGGAGGTGTGGAGGGAGTGGCCCTCAGGTGCAGTCTACCTGAGTCCACTGTTAAGTATGGTTTTGTCTGTTCCATGGATGTTGGCATCATCTCAACGCGCTGGGCCAACACGATTCTGTTAGGAGTTGTACTTCTGCAGAGCCTTAAGCAACAGATAAAAAATTTAAAAAGGGAAAATGCAGAGTGAAATTGATAATAATATGACAATCCCAGGTTGCATGTTTTGAGTAATGAACATAGGCTTAAAGACAACCAGTTGAATAAATCAAATGACCGTGGAAAATTGGGTGAGACTTTTTATAATATATGGCCTGTTTCCTTTTTTGGTGTGTGTGTATTTTTTCCTTTTTGTGGAGAATGGGGTTTCACATGTTGCCCAGACAGATCTTGAACTCCTGGGCTCAAGCTATCTTCCCACCTCTGCTGAGATTACAGGCACGAGCCACCATGCCCACACCCGTTTTCCCATTTTGGGTATATGGGCCTTAATTTTCCCAGAAGAATTTATCCAGGTTTAGCATGTAGTATCAGCAATAGCACAGACGTTTCCTTCTTTACGCAATGGACAATGTAGACCAATTTTGTTATCTAGTGTCCCATGACTGAGTTGGATTAAAGCGCAGTGAGCACCAGTTGTATTAGGGATGTTGCCAAAGTCACCCACTAGGTGGACTCAAGGATCTCTTAGGGTTCTATCTAGTTCCCAGCAGAAGCTACTGATTGTGAAATTTCGATTACACCATTATTGTGCTGAGTCAAAAAGGTAGGCATTAAGAGGGGTAAATGTCTCATTATAAAATGGAGTCTTATTCCAGTGCCTTGGGAGAAGCTGCCCACAGCATGAAGCTGTCAGCTTCTAGTCCTGTCTTGTGGTCTAAGTGTCTCTGGTTGTGGCATCAGTGGTTTGGTGAACTCTTGGTGTGGCCCATGCATCAGGAATGAGATTTGTGCCTTAAAATTCATTTAGTTTCAGCTTATAGGGCTTCAGGAATAGACTAGTTCTCTGCTTTTAATAATTCTACGGAAGAAAGTTGGATGGGAGGAAGTTGGAAGAATTGGGGAGCTTGGAAACAGTGCACAGGGCTCCCGTCTAATAACAGGAGTATTGCAGCTTTTCTTCAGAAGCATGGCTTCTCTCTACCTTGATCACACAAGAAAAAAATCACTCCAATTTTAACAGCCTCCTGAGACTGGGAAGACAAACCAAGACAGACTATAGATTTTTCCTACAGTCTTAAGGTTTCTGGGCCTGACAGGAAGTGACAGTTTTTATTTACCCGCTGTGAGGCTGAAGCCCTTGAAGCAGGGTGTTCTATGCACATTCTCAAATTTGAGATTCCAGACACGGCATTGGGAACAAAACCAGTGGTTTCTGTTGTATCCTGCTATAAAGAGGGAACAGATTTTTTGTTGTTGTTGTTGTTGTAAATAACCATGTTGCCATAAGAATACTTGTGAACAGTTTCCAGATTTTGGAGGGATTGAGTAGGGAGAAAAAGCAAATGTTTTTACTTTTGTTTTCACAGAAGTATACTTTACCAGATTGCTGTAAGTTATAGACAGTTTAAGAAAGAAAACATCCTGGCCGGGCGCGGTGGCTCACGCCTGTAATCCCAGCACTTTGGGAGGCCAAGGCCCGCGGGTCACGAGGTCTGGAGATCGAGACCATCCTGGATAACACGGCGAAACCCCATCTCTACTAAAAATACAAAAAATTAGTCGGGCATGGTGGTGGGCGCCTGTAGTCTCAGCTACCTGGGAGGCTGAGGCAGGAGAATGGTGTGAACCCGGGAGGCAGAGCTTGTAGTGAGCCGAGATCACACCACTGCACTCCAGCCTGGGTGACAGAGCGAGACTCTATCTCCAAAAAAAAAAAAGAGAAAACATCCTTAGATCTGGAAAACAAACATTTAAGTAAAGAACCAACAATGTTTCAAATAGAAGTCATAAAATCATCTCATCAGTTATTTAATCTCATGTAATTTTGTTCTGCTTGCTCTTGATAAGTAGTTTCACAAATTCGTCTGTTTCCTTATTAGAGTTCTGAAGAATTTTCAGTTGGTCTGTCAATCTTAAAGTTATTAGAAACCTGTATTTAAGAGTACTTCTTAGAGTCTTTTCCATAAAATCTGATTGCGAATACTTTTAGAGAGAAAAATGAAAGCAATAACAATGGATAAGAAAAACAGAATAGCCATGGTTTAAAATCTGGTATAAGTTCATTATAATTAGCAATTGACAAGGAAATCTGGCTATTTCTGTAGCATACAACATGATAACCAGAATTATGGCATATTAGATTTCTAAGAGTTTTATACAATTTTGGAACATTCCTATAAAAACACACCCATAAATATGACTGAAGGAAGGTCTAGCATCACGTATCATTTTAGTGTTTTTTATACAATTTACCAGATAAGCCTAATAATTTACTGTCTTTATAAGATTAGAGATACGTCCTTTGAGGCTCTCCAGGAG